TATTCTTGAAAATATTCAAAAGGGGATAACTCAAGAACCAATTGACGGATCGTCATGATTTTTGGTATGTAGGTAGCTTACGCGATGTTTAATATAATTATGTGACAATTATGCAAATATGGATGTAATTTGCATAATTTATGGGGAAATTCTATAAATCAGCTGCATTCCATGATAGGACAATTGAAGCTTGTGACATTGGTAATTGACAATGAGAGAAACACAGGAAGATATTGATTATGTTAATAATGACTTAATTTGCATAATTAATGAGAAAATTTTATAACTGCCTGGAATTTCATACTTGTGGTATTTGAAAGTTTAGTTGACGTGAACATCATTAAACATAATTTATTCAAATCAGGACCTCATTTGCATAATATATTAGGAAATGCTAGAATGCATTGTTTGTTAATATAAGACTGTCTTTTGGTTGAGATTATGATAAAATGATATAATTCATGAAAATTAGGTTCCTATTTCTTGAATCAGGGGGGAATAATCTAATCTATAATTTGTCAGTCATAAAGTTTAACATCATTTGGCGAAGGTATGAGATCGGGGAACTCTAGTTTGGGGTGTATTCAATATTCTAAATCTTAAAGTTTCCATTCAGTTTGACACTTGAACTAATATTTAATATGGTCACATTTTTCTTTACATTCAACTGTTTGTGAACAATGCAAAAGCCAGTCAAGTGAAGTCCATTTTTTGGTAGCCTACATTGTAGCAAAAATCACCAGCCACAGGTGCTGTTTTTGTTCAGTCACCAGCCACAGGTGCTGTTTTTGTTCAGTCACCAGCCACAGGTGCTGTCTTTGTTCAGTCAAAATTTGCAAATTAGTACAGAAACCTGGGAGGTGCAACATACAATGTACAAAACACTGACACAGTTGAAACACTAGCTTATAAAAATTATCAGCTATGTGTTGGAAAGTACATTCTGCAGCTGAAAAGTTGAATCTGAAATGTCATCCTGAAATTATACCAACTGCCTTATTGACATCTGCTGTAGAATAATGAACAAAATGGCTGGCATTCACAAGACATTCTCACAAAGTTGCACAACAAAGTTGCATTAAAAATTACCTAAATCAATTATTTTGTTGAATGGTTTGTTGTTGATAGTCCCGCCATCAGGCTCTGGGATTGATGGAACTGAAGAAGTGACTGTGATGGTGGATAGTCTGGTAGAACTGCCCTGTAAGGTGGATGCTTTCCCTCCTCCAACATTTTCTTGGATCAAAGATGGACAAATGCTGTCAGGCAATTCTCTGCAGCATGTTGTTTTACCCTCTGGAACACTGAGGATTGCTACAGTCCAAGTTGCTGACAGTGGAGAATACAAATGTGTTGCTTCTAATGTGGCAGGGGAGTTAACAAAGGACTACACTCTTGATGTCCAAGGTGAGAGAAAGTTTCCTGACTTTTGACTTGTTTTACATATAAAAGTACAGTGCAGCCTTCCGGTTGTCATTTTGAGTTTCATTACGAGTTCCTTGCGGCAGATTAAATAGAATTTGATAAGTTTGTGGGTACATGTTATGGGCTGCAGATGAAAATGTTGACCTGTATTGTTAAACACAACGAACCAGGAATGCTAAATCTAACACATTAAATTTTAAAACACCATCAACTATAAATGAGAAACAAGATATAAAAATATACAATAAAAAGCCCGGAGGTATAAAATCTCAGATTTTACTTGTTTTCTTGCTAAAATAAATTTTACAAAATTGGCAATTAACGTGTTATTATCCCATAGAAAAATGTCCCAGAAATGACTGATGGTATCAGAAAGACACAAATCTTGATTACAAAAGTCGATTACAAAGAAAATCCTAGTACTGTACTTTTAGAATCATCCATGGCATGAAGGGTAGAATACCCGGAAGTTTAGTCTCTGGGCCAAAATCAATTTTCACGAAAAAACAGCACTTTTTACACTTTTCAGACATGTTATGTGACATCGTTTTGCAGCAATTTATAAACAATGTGAAGTTAAACTTTGACTGCTTGCCAACTTAGATGGGCAAGCCAAAGAGCAGTGTGAATGCATTTGTCACTCAGGCCAGATGATTTCTGAAATAATAAGATGCTCATACCGATTTTATTGTGAAGGGGGTCTAAATATTGTCTCTGTGTCTTTCTAATTCCATTCGAAAAGGAGCACCTTAAAATGACCCTGATCACAGCTTCTGCTGATATATACTATATGTAGCCTGAAACAAACCATTTCAGTTTCAGTTTTATTCAGATCCACAATTAGCCTCATAAGAGGCTATTCTTCCTGTGGTCTACACATTCATATTTACATACATATATTACAAACGTACAAAAACATTACAAAATTAACAGTACATGGCAAACTTTACACAAATTCACTATTTACAATACACTTCCATTGAAAAATACACTTCCAAATTTACAGGTTGACATCAATGGGCTCTAGCAAACAAGAAGGGAGAATATGCATCTGGGTATGTCCTACATATTTGGGACTTGCATGAAAAATGCATCTGAAGAAATCTCAAATGCAAGGTCCCCTGCACTGTGGGGGCTGCACTGTTTTTTTAGAGTGGGGGTATACATTTTACGTAATGATTGTTAATGAAGGCTATAAAACTTGTAGATATTAAAAATGTAGATATTAAAACCCATTTTTGGACAAAGAAAGGAAAGTCTATATTTACATTTCACCCATACTATAGTATGGGAGAAATGTATTGTTTTCCCTCATGTTTCTCCTTCTCCTGCCATTTCTTTAAAGGGATTCAACTCGAATGACCTGAAATTTGGCATGGATGTAGAGTGGGCAAATACCCCCAGATATTTTTTTTTTCCATTTTCTTTAAACAGGCCTTTGTTTTATTTAGGTTTTGGGTCATTTTCAGGCACAAAATATACATTTTGGGATCTGGAGCCCTGGTACTAAAACTAAATGACCTGCAATTTGGTATGGGAATACCTTGTGCCACTAAGTGGCCAAGGACACGAAAGAGTGGACGAGATGCGAGGATTGAGCCTGATGCTGGGAGGCGTTTATTCACAACATGGCCAACATGGCGGAGTCGATGTTCAGACTGACGTTACCCAACATGGGGACGGGTGATCATGTCATCACTAATCATTAACATAATATATGCCAGTGGCGTTGGACACATGTCTACAGAATGATATTCAAGCTTTTGACATATGCCACTTTAAAATTGTGTAAAATGGGGCTTTTTGGCTATTTTTGGACCAAAAATGTACAATTTTGGCTCCTGTGCCTTAATTTTAAAACCAAATGACCAGAAATTTGGTATAGGTGGAGATCATTGGATACAATCCCACAAAACTTTATTTACACTTTTGGCATTAGTAAGTTTACAATTATGTAAAATGGGACTTTTTTGCGATCTTTTACCAAAAAAGTAATGTTACATTTTTGGCTCCTATGCACTACTACCAAAACCAAATTCAGCATAAAGGTAGCTTGGGCCACACCAATTTAATTTGTTGGCTCTCGGATTTTTTCAGAAAAAATACATGTATGAAGCGACGGCGAAAAAAATAAAAATAAAAACAGGTCTAGGCATCCTACTATAGGCTTAAAATTGCTACGAAATGAGCCATGAAGTCAACACAAAAGGCTGGGTTAAAATTTAAACATTGAATTTTGAACTTTTAATCAAAGCACTGCAATGATAGATGGGAAAACTGTAACAACTAGGAAGAAAAGGACTTTTCTCAACTGTTGGGGGCAAAACATGAGCATTTTTCAGTTGATTCAGAACCAGAATCATATTTTTTTTTGCAAATCAGAAAAAAACGAAGAGGCGAATCCGAGAACCAACAAATTAAATTGGTGTGGCCATGGCAACAAATGCTTAGGCTATAGTGTTCACAATTCAGATACTTAAAATACTTAAATTTAACTTAGGCCACACCAATTTAATTTCTTGGTTAACAGATTTTTCTACAAAAAATTGGAGCGGGTGGGCGAAAAAAAAATAAAAATAAAAATTTGAGACTACCTGCCATACAGCCATGTAGTAAGCAATCCATTAAGTTAAGTTACAAAATGATATAAGACATAATTATATTGGACACTTATTGAACTGGAAGGACCATTACTACATGTACATGAGCAACTTCTCTTACATGTACATCCCTTTACAATTATTCGTATCATTTGCAAGATACACATCTTTACTGTATGAACAACAAACTGTCAGTTGACAAGACTCTGATCCAACTGGTTTCACTTTTATTCATCTTTCAAAGTTCCAAAGAGTGGTTTAAATCAGGGTGCTCTGTTCAGATCCCATTGTCACAGCTTACCACTGGGCTGGGCATTCTGTTGTGTCTGGCTGATATGGAAGTTATTTAGAGCTTGAAATTTACAATATCCTAAATATATGCTTTAGACAAATTTCCAGGAATGTTTAAAAGTTATTGGCAAAAGAATTAACTACTTTAACAGATATTTTATTTCTTTTTTTATCTTCCCCAAATACTACCGGTAGTATCCATTTTATATTTCCCATTATACACTTTAGGTATGCTACGGCTACATTATACATAGCCATAATTCAAACAAATAGCCACATTGACACACTCTTCAAGTTCTCACAAATTCAATGGTCTAGGTTTCACTATTAAGTCTTTGATGTATGGGGATTTTTTATTTGTAGGGGGAACCATTTTATTCAAAAATTTAGATGTAATAATTGATGCATTATTTGCAATTGTACTCTTGTTTATAGGTATCTAAATAAGATGTAACTTTGTTAGAATGCCACATGCGCATGTAGTATTTTTCACAGAGTAATTTTTATAATTAAAAAGAACTGTTTCCCCCTACTTGAGGTGGACTCTTCCGACCGTGAGAAAGAGTTGCTTTAGTGAATGGACTTACGTGCATGGAGGACTTTTTACTTTGCCAAATTCCCATGTTTGTGGTAGGATTTTGTACTTTTTGAGAGTAATACAGTTTGTGATGCCAGAATACATTGTTATGTTGTGTTATTTTTACATATTCCCTGGAAAAAAGATCGTTTTGAAGGTGTGTGTGCATGTGCCGCCCAGGCCGAGTTACGTTCGGCCGATTACTTTTAACGCCCGTTACTAGCACATGTTTCCGACACAAATACGTGTTCCTAAATATAATAGATATCTAAAAGGGAGATGATATGTTATTACAGGTACGATGACTTAGTAAATCTGCCGTACGTTTGTCGTCAGTGAAGTTTTGTCCCATGAATGGTGACATGTGCAAAGGGGGTGGGGGCGAGTTCTATATCAAAAGAATTTGACGAACTTTTGAAGAGGCAACCTAGCTTTCCGAAAAAATTGCAGTCAGAAAAATGTTTCTGCCTTGAAGCAATGTATTTTTAACGCTGTTAGCTATGCCCAAATTTTGAAAAATTACAACGTACCAGGTGGATTTTGGGGCCCCCAATTCGGGACCCGAGAGTATGGATTTTTGTTCTGTTTTTATTTTTATTTCATTTTGGCAAAAAGACGAAGCGGCGAATCCGTTAACCAAGGAAATAAATTGGTGTGGCCTTATTTTGAGTAAAAACAGCGATTGTAGCTCGAAAACCCAAATCCCCAACTGACAGTTGTAAATCGAACACTCTAGTTCTACGAGGGTTCTATATGTTCCAACAGCAAAGGCGTTGGAAGATTCCATTGCTGCATGGGGGTATAGATTGTTGGAACAGTTCACATTTTAAATTGGTGATTTAGGAACAATCCATTTGTGCAGGAGGGGGATAGGTCCATTTTTGGTATGGTGGATGTGGTGAAGCCATGCTGCATTTGCTCCTTAGCAAATGTTGGCCTTTCAAGCTATAGGGGTAATTTGGAATGGAAGAATGGGTGAAATGTGCTGTATTTGCTCTTGAGCAAATGTCGGCGTTTCTAGTTTACATGAATATAATGATATTTTTCAGTCATTCCCAGTATATCTGGAGACAAGACTGAGTACACTGTGGTACAAGGTCGGCAGGTTGTGCTGACATGTGATGCTGATGGTGTGCCCTCCCCAACTGTGACCTGGAACAATCGAGGAGAACCTGTAAGTGACAGGCCGGGCATGTCCATCTCAGACACAGGAGCTCTGATCATAAGTTCAGCCAGGCCTGCAGATTCTGGTCCTTACACCTGCACAGCCATCAACCCAGCAGGGGTAGCCTCCAGACAGGTCAACCTGCAGGTGTTTGGTAAGGGTCTGCTATTTACCTTTTGTACAAACATGCTCGAGTTACTTTTTGAGTATTAAACAAAACAAGAAAAATGTCATCAGGTTTGTCAAAAAAGTACTAGGTTCTTTTAGTAACTTTTTGTTATGTGTTCACAAAGGTGAATGGACTCTTTATTCTTGACTCCTTTTGACATAGCCTCAGAATGGAAGAACTTAGGAAGGAGGTTGAAAATATTTAAGATAGGATAAGTTGGATAACTAAAAAACGGTCCACAGATCGTCATGATTTTTGGTATCTAGGTAGCTTAGGTGATGCTTGACATAATTGAAATACAGTTATGCAAATCAAGATCTAATTTGCATAATTAATGAAGGAATTCTATAAATCTGCTGTATTCAATATTAGGACTATGAAACACTTGGGACATAGGTAATTGAGAACGGCAAGATATTTGGCAGATATTGATTATGTAAATGAAGACCTAATTTGCATAGTGGGAACTATACAATTTTAAAGTGGTATTGCTGGGAATTTAGTACACATGTACTTGCCATATTTGAAGTTCAGTGAAGGTGAACATCACAACATAATTTATTCAAATCAGGTCCTAATTGCATAATTTATGAGGAAATGCTGGGAGCGCACAATGCTGCGAGCGCACAATGTCTTGCTCACTGCTTAAAGACCTGAACGCACGGTGCTCTGTCACTAGTTGTTGGAGAGTGGTCAGGTTTTGGTGAATGAATTTTGAGAACATTAATTTGAACAATATACTTGGATAAAAAATGCATTCATACTATTCATGAGCCCTTCACGCTCTGCATTACAAGCGACAAACTGTGAGACATTTTCGTGAATGTTCCTTCGTGAATGCGGCTACACTAGATAGTGTGCCCTAACTTCGGACGCTTTTGTAATTTTGCTCTCTTCAAGCATTTATGATGAAATTAAATAAACAAAACTAAGAATAGAATTTTATGATATTTTAGCTTTCTTTTGACAGTAAAATTGCGATTGTGTATACTTCTCATCTCACAAGAGGACTGTAGCATCTAACGCAAGCAGTCCGTGTTTCCACTGAAAACCCGCCCGGCTTACAGATTCAATATTGCCCCATGGGAATGATGGGAAATGCAGACTACAGTGGTGTTGACGTTGTTTTTTTCACTCAAAGACCCAAATCTTTATGTAAATCTTTATATTGTTACATGTATGTCTGGCAGTTGTGTGACTGCTTGGTAAAGGACGTCTATTTCTGGGCACGAGCCACCACAATGAAGTGACCCTCTTTTCAGCACCATTGTTATGATTGGTGAAATGACTGATATTCTGTTTTTGGGCAAAACGATAAATAAATACAAATGTATATAGAACTACTGTACTTTGCATGCAACAAACAGTTGTATGCATTGACTACGTTTAGTTGCCTTTTAAATTAGCAAAGTTAGTGGCAACAAACACGGCGTACTTTTGCATAATAAGATCAGTAAAAAATCCATCCAAACTTAGGGCATGTCCGAAGTTAGGGTACCCCCCATTACATTAGAAGAAAATGCAAGAATAGTCAGCTAAAAAAATTGACATCATTGCCATAACAATGATTTTTACATTGTCAGTCTTGTTATTGTATTGTGCTATCAATATTTCCACAGCATAACGGTGAATATATTTTGTTTGTTGTTGATAGTCCCGCCATCAGGCTCTGGGATTGATGGAACTGAAGAAGTGACTGTGATGGTGGATAGTCTGGTAGAACTGCCCTGTAAGGTGGATGCTTTCCCTCCTCCAACATTTTCTTGGATCAAAGATGGACAAATGCTGTCAGGCAATTCTCTGCAGCATGTTGTTTTACCCTCTGGAACACTGAGGATTGCTACAGTCCAAGTTGCTGACAGTGGAGAATACAAATGTGTTGCTTCTAATGTGGCAGGGGAGTTAACAAAGGACTACACTCTTGATGTCCAAGGTGAGAGATTGTTACTTAACATGAAATTTGGAACTGCTTATGTCACTATTGTTGTAAACATGTCTAACATCTGTGTCCATGATATCACCAGGGTCCATAATATCGCCACCTTGAGAAATAGTGTGCTTAAAGATATTTTTACTGCAACATACCCTAGGTATGTACATTTGATAGGTGAAGGAGTGCATACCAAAAGTATGTTGCAGTAAAAATATCTTTAAGCCCAGTTGCCCCAGGCAACCAAATTTTACTTGGGGCAACCTATTTTTGAACCTACATGTAGGTAGCCCAGTGTGCTACCTGGATTTTAAGAATGCCCCCCCCCCAAATCATGCCCACTTGGCTTGTACCACTGTATCCGGCAGATGCTTTTTAATTTTAGGTAGTAATGGCTACTACTAGTATCAGTTAACTAAAGGCTGTTAGAAATATTGTCAAAAGCCTTTAGTATAAGTAACATTACTTAATTTGAGGAAAGTAATAACTTATAGGTGGGGCAACCTAAAATTCTCATGGGCAACCTAATTTTTGACGGGCAACCTGGTTCAAAAAAGTATTTTGTACACTGTTAGGGTACCCTTCTTTAACAAGACTGATACTCTACCATTACCATGGCAATGGTAGTTTTGTAAGGGTTATTGTTTGCATGGCAATGTTATAGAAGAAGAAGAACTTTATTGCGCAACAGATGTTGCGGGTACAACGTATGGCAACATATACATAGTAGTTGGTGATACTAAAAATATCTAACAGTTGTACTAGCTGTACTAAGAATCTGGTCTACTTTCATGAACAATGTATAACAATACAGAGACACTAATTATACTAATCTAACTCTATTGATAGTAATATATTGTGTCAGGAATTTATTACATTTTCTCGTTTTGTCACCGAATTGTGTATAAATTGTCCTTCATAAGTGGATATATTGACAGGACATGACAGTAGCATATTGAATATCTGTCTTTGTATGGGGTAGTGTTATATCGGTCTTACATGTAATATATTGTAACAATTTTCGTCGGTTTTCATAGGTTGGGCAATCTATCATACATTGTCATACATGTGTATGATTTCATGATTTTGGGGAAGCCTTGTCGTGGTCTGTCATGAGTTTGTTAAAGTTAACATTTGAGGTCGCAAGTCTCTGGAAAAACCTGCCCCACTTTCAAATTCTGTGAGCCCCGGGACTTGTTCATTAATACACTTGGGAATTCGAAGGTAGGAGTGATCTACTGAACGGCACTGTATCTGTAACAAGGTGTACATAATTATTTACTTTCCTATCGTCATTATGAAATATTATATGTCGTCACCAGCAGCAGTATATGAATAAACATTGATAGTCATGAGCTCATTGCTGACACATCAATGGGCCCCAGCAAACAGTAAGAAAAAATAGACATACATGTACATGTAGTATAGCAGCTGTATACAACATTTCACTAACTTTTTGGATATAGCAAAGTAAAGTCAACATTTTGTAACATATATGATTATTATTTTCCAGTTATTCCCAGTATATCTGAAGACAAGACTGAGTACACTGTGGTACAAGGTCGGCAGGTTGTGCTGACATGTGATGCTGATGGTGTGCCCTCCCCAACTGTGACCTGGAACAATCGAGGAGAACCTGTAAGTGACAGGCCGGGCATGTCCATCTCAGACACAGGAGCTCTGATCATAAGTTCAGCCAGGCCTGCAGATTCTGGTCCTTACACCTGCACAGCCATCAACCCAGCAGGGGTAGCCTCCAGACAGGTCAACCTGCAGGTGTTCGGTAAGGGTCTGCTATTTACCAAGAAAAATATCCTCTGGCAGCTTGGTTTATGGTGAACAAAAGGAAACAAGAGTTCCGAGATCTCATACCTCCATGAAATATGGGCTTGCTTTGTCATACTTCATTTCAACATGTCCTCATTAATTATGCAAATGACATCTACATTAACATAATATATGTATAGTGGTGTTAATCTTACACGTGTCACGAGGTATAAATTCCCATCATTCGCCAATAAGGAGTCACAGAATTTTCGCATTAATTATGCAAATTAGGTCATCATTAGCATAATTGGTATCTGTTGATATTCCTCCCGCCACAGATTAAATAGATTGCATGTATAAAAGAACTATTATATAAAACACTGTAATTATAGAATTTCCCCCTTAATTATGCAAATTAAGTCCTCATTTGCATAATTTGCATTTCATCATGTACAACTGTATCTCAGCTACCTACACAACAAATATGTCATAATGATGAAAATACATTGTTCCTATCTGGACTTATTGGCTTTGAAAGTTTTTACCAGAAACTAACCTGCAGTTCCAGAACAAGCTGCTAGGGGGACCAAACGTACGCCACTTATTCCTGACAGGATAAGCTATCTGTCACCAAAAAGTCAAGACCATAGCATGTTCAGAACAAAAGATACAAAAACCGGAAGTTCTGCTGCAGTACCAAGGTCATCCACCAGGAGGCTCATATTTGACCTTGACCTTTGTCTTCCTTAGACTTATCAGCATACCAAATATCATCACAATCCATAAAGTCGTTATGAAGTTATGCTGACTACAAAGTTGCGGAAACACACACAGACACACACACACACACACACAGACACACAGACAGACACGCCAAAAACAATACCTCCATTTTTCATGGAGGTAATAATTGCTTCTAATTTACATTTGTAGCTTTAGCAAACTTCTCTTGAAAAACCCACAAATGTAACGTTACTTTCAAAACACTGTAAAAAGGCTATCATGCTGCTAACTAGCTGTTACCTCCAAAATGGGAAATTTTCCAGTTTCTGAAATAGAAAAGAAAGATTCCCGTGCCATTTTTAACAGTTTACTGGTATATTCTTCCTTGTACTAAGGACATTATACTTGTTGTACAGTCCAGGCAAAATGCCAATGTGAAACAATTTTACCATTGATTATTTCCACAAAATAAAGACCAGAAATTTTCCTATTTGCAAGTGATTACTTTTTTTACATTGTTTTGAAAGAGTCATATTGTATCTACATGTATCCTCAGAAATACTAAGGACGGAAATATGAATACTGCAGTTCACTTTTTTACATTTTTCTGTGAAGTAGCTGTGAATTTGTTTTCCTCAGGTAGTCTGGTAACCTGCTGTCAGGGACTGAGTCAGGGAATTGGCCATATTGTCGCCTCATCCAAATAAAGAAATCACATTTTATCCTTGGAGTGACCAAAAGCAATTTAGTCATTTTTTTATCTTCCAGGCGCAACCATAATTATGCAATGTTCTTCTTTCACACAAAAGACAAGTCTGAAAAGCAGACATGTTGAACTTAAATGTTCATGTGGTCCCAATGTACATGTACATTGTAAGGAATCTATGAATATTTCAATTATGCCATTTTTGGGAATATTTTGAACATATGAAAGAATATCTCATAATCATACTGGTAGGTGTGAGACAACCTGAATATTATAATTACCTCCATGAAAAATGGAGGTATTGCTTTTGGCATGTCTGTGCGTCTGTTTGTGTTTGTGTTTCCGGACATTTGCGGCCAGCATATTAGTAAGTTTTGAACCTGTGTATGGACTGTAATGATATTTGGTATGTGGATAGGTGTTGGGTAGCCAAAGGTCAAGGTCGATTTTGGGCCTCCTGGTGGCTGACCATGGTACTGCAGCAGAACTGCCAGTTTTTGTATCTTTTGTCCTGGACATGGTATGGTCTTGATTTTTGAGTAGCGGATAGCTTTTCCTGTCGGTAAAAAGTGATGTGGGTTTGGTCCCCCTAGCAGCTTGTCTTGGAACAGCAGGGGGGTTTCTGGTGAAACCTTTTGAACCTGGTGAAGCCTTAAATTTAATGGCAGTGAACCTTAATCCGACACTTTTCAACACTCCTCTATCTGTTAGGATCTAGCACTGATATGCAAAATTTTTTAATTGCTTTACAAACTCAACAAGAGTTCCGAGATCTCATACCTCCATGAAATATGGGCTTGATATGATAAATGTGTGAAAGGCTGCATTATTACGAGGTGCAAAACACAATCTGGGTGATATTGCCGTGGCTAGGAGCAAGAAGTTGAAATAAACGCTGTAAAGATGTGAGGAGTACTTATTAGGCTATCACTTAACACCACCCAAAGGAAAGAAAGTCGCGAATTTAAGGAGCCCTGAACCGAACATCAGAAAACCCAGTTTTGCCTTAAGAAGGCTTAAAACCGACTTCGATTTTGCTGTTAAATGTCAGTTTAAGTCACCATAAATAGAGAAACTTCGCCGAAATTATACGTAAGTCAAATTCAGAGGTTGACTCATATAAAATGACATAGAAAGTGAATTCATGCAACAACTGTTTACCTTCCAGAAACGATTAAAATTGCCCTGACGGGGATTTCGGGGGGGGGGGCGGGTAAAGGGGGAGGGGGGCGCCTAGGGCCTGGGCATGAATATACGGACTTTTTTACTCGAAAAAAGCAAAATGATGCGGTTTTTTGTCAGAATCGGATAACTTTTGCCAAAAACCTTTTAAATCCATACGAATGACGTCATCGATGACGTCATTTTTTGCGCATGCGCCGTGCTTTTAAGGTCTCGGACCGGAGTTTTTTTCACGATTTTGGATCCGGCGGACACCCTCAGACCGAAGGGCTATAACTCCGCCAAAAAAAGTACGCCGGGAAATCTCATTACATCAGTCAACTGAGGTTTCCAGCCGGCTTCCGATACAATTTTGGTTATTGTCCGTCGACTCTATAATTTGGGTAGAAACTGTAGTTAAACGTAAATTTTGGATACGAAAAATGTATTTTTTTTGCAGTTTTTTCAACGGACCTGCTTGGAAAAAACGAATTTTCCCAGGCTAACGGCTTATATGCTGAAATAGCTTACTACTTTCTGTTTCTGAAAAACAGAAAAAAAATATAGGTTGTTGCGATAAGTTTTTCGCAAAATCCGGTGACGCGAACCCCTAGAAATTCCACATAGAACGCAGCTATTTGGGTCATCAGGCGACAAACCGCATCACCCTTGCTCGCGGACTAATACCAAAAACGCTTCGCTGGCCGTCCAACTTCACCGCGACGAAAAACACTACAATCCCAAGGCTTTTTGATCAATTCAAAACCTAGTTGAAAATCTACAGCGATCGCCGAGCTATGGGGAGCCAAACCTAGCGTGACAACCTCGCAGATCCGGCGATTTACTGCGCACTATTTGGAACCCT